AACAGAAAAATAATTGGAAACTGTTTTGATAATAGATTCATCATTTTATTCATTTTTAAATCAAAAATGGAAAACAGTCACTAGCTCTAGCTGCTTACATGTCAGGAACTGATTATTTGCTTTCTCATATATAATAGTAAACTGAATACCTTTGCGTTTTGGACTGTTGGTCAAATAAAGCTGTTTCAATCACGCGACACCTTGGGCTGTGATAAATTAGCAAGCATTCTTCATTATTTTCTTTTATTTAACAGACAACATTATTCATCAATTAATCATTCAGTGTAATCTCATTCAGCAGATTAATTAAAAAGTGATTAAAGAATTGTTAGTTTACCTTCACTCCCTCACTTTGTGCTGCACTACACAATACTAAGTGTAGATTCCCAATGCAGAAAAGTTGCCTATGAATATAATTCATGGGAGACAAAAGTGTTCTCCACTGCCATCATGAATCTTGACTGTTGATGGAAAAAGAATTACTTTAAAAGCTTATATTATAGTGCAAATATTTACAAGGTTCCAGATGAAAACACACACCGCAATGAACCTTATGAACCTTTTGAGGCTGTAGTACAGATGGTGACTGAGAGTATGTTTTTAATTATGAAACGTCTATTATCCGAATAACAGATTTTTAGAATATCATATCCCTCTCTCTTGAGCTTTTAAATCACTTACTGAAATATGAATTAGAAATGTCCATTTGGTAATGCAGTTCATAACCGGAGCCAAACGCCGCCTCTCATTAATGGACCTAAAAATAGACGCAAAATGGATCGTCAATGATCTTCATCTACTGTGTGGTAGTTTTATGAGGTGACACTATACTGTATGTTTGAACTGAGCATGTGTATGTATGTGGTGGAACATCTTAAGAGAAAAGTGAGCAAAGAAGAAACACTCACACATACACACAAAATTATACATGTAAAAATTACAAGTTATACAATAAAGGATATAGTGTTATGAAAATGTCCAGCAATGTGCACATTAAAGTAGACAAAAGCACAGTTTTTTATTTGCAGATGGTGACTGCATACTGTAGGGGAGACCGGGGCTTGTTGTCACACTTTTTACGCTCTTATATATTTCTTGGAATCAATACATCATATTAAAAAAAAATGTGTACCAGATGAAAGAGCAAAGTCTCAGGTATATATTTTGTATTTATGTCATTTTCATATCTTGTGTCAGTGCAGAGTTATAAGCAATCAAATAGAGAGTGTGAACATGTGACATGTTGCCCCACCATAGGGTAAGTTGTCTCACTATATGGGGTAACAGTTAACGCAAATTCAACCCTGTAACTTGCAACCTTGCAATTTTGTCCAATCACCACAAAGTTTTTTCAAATGTGACCTATCCTTGATGTTTCCTGCACTAAATGTCATCAAACTCACTTCCCTGTTTCAAGCGAGAGATGTGGGACATGAACATCTCACTTTTGCCCTGTCCAGACAGTGTGATTTTATTCCACTGATGCCACTGCCATTTTTAAGGAATTTGACAAAAAAAATCAACTCTTTCTGCAATTTCCACTTTATTTCAAACACATTTAGAAAAAAAGTAGATAATTTTCAAGCTGCAACAATCCCCAAAAAAGCCTGTGTAATGCGGGGAGGACTGATTGACCAGTTTATAAATGTGTAACATTTAACTTGCCATTCATAGTCCCCTTGCCTCGGGGGAATTTTATTGCCCCATGCTGTTGCTGGGAGACAGTTGTGAGTATAGACGTGTGTGTGTGTGATGTGAACATGAAGTGTTGTGTGTCTTGCTGCGTTGTCATTGATTAAAGGATACTATTACAAGATAAACTGTTTACTATCTACAGCCAAGCCCAGAGTGACTGTAGTATGTTAAACAACAAGAATTCAAGGAGTGGAAGTTCAATTGTTCACCAATACATAAATATCTTTTAAATGACATGCACATCACACAGAATTAAAGAGAGGTGAAAGGAAATATCTTAATAAAATGCTAGAAAATATCTAAAAATTATTTTTGCCCATATTAGCTATCCCTATTCCATATGTTTGTCTGGAGCAGATTTGTTGTCTACATGCAACCTCCATGAGGCATTCAGAAGATGTAAGCTGCTGATGCTGACATGGGTGTGTCTGCAGGCTCCAGGCCAAGTCCCAGTGCACAGCAGCTGGGACCAAAATCCTCACTTGGCCTTTTGACAAGACACACACACACACACTCATACATACACACACAGACACACAAACAGCAACAACAGCGCGACCACAGTCACTTCCTAATAAATAAAAAACTTCCCATAGAGCATCTAAAAAAAGCCCATAGTAGGCCTACTTTAGAAATTGACAAAACTGAGGGCAATTATATAAGCTTACCAACTTTCATTCAATGAGAGTAATAAATTAACTGATTATAAAGATTTAGGGATATTTTATTGTGGTCCATGTGCGACTCACTGACACTCACTAAATCAGCACTAAGATGAAGTTAACACACACATTCAGTATTAGTGCTGTTGATGGAATAAGATAAATAATAATACTTTGTGTTCTGTTTCTATAAAAACACAAAATATTATGTCTGAGGTACGAAGTAATTTACTGTATACAAGTCAACTGCAATGCAGTCACATTGCGTCTCACTACTTCTAAATATGGACAAACAATGAACTGCTTTGTGTGTTTGGGTAAACAAATAAAAATAAGACATGTCTGCCAAGTCAACTCTTATTGCTTTGACAGGACATCCTCAATTACTGGCACAGAGGTCGACAAAAAGATTGATGTGCCAGCATGGGTCTGTCTGTTACACACCCAACACACATGTGCAGCAACCTCGCCAGAAAGCAACTATTATTAAAGCATAAACAATGCATGCTACAGCTCTTTCTACATGATGAAGGATTTAACAGCACATCAGGTCATATACTGGAAAAACTCCCTTGTGAAATTTTCCCCCCTTAACATTAAATGTTCATGACTTAATAAGCAACAATCAAAATTGAAGAAACTTTTGTTGTTATTTAATGAGAGTTTAACTTTTAAAAACTCCAATCTGCTTAATCAGAACTGTGTAAGTGGTTTGATCATATTTGATTGACAGTCGTCAAACAGCTGAATAAGATAATTCAAATGTTGCTAAATCCTGCTGACTTAAAACCAGCAAGAAGAGCACAAAGAAACAAGGAAACATAAAAACCTCCAATGAGAGATAACTAAAGCTGTTCTAACTTTGACAGAAAACATTGTGCACATGACACATAGGATCCCATTACTCACAGTAATAAGCCAATTGAGAAAATAGATTTTCAGGGCCTTGAAGAAGTCTTTTTGTCTTTGTGAGTGATTTGCCTATAGATATATTGATTCTCATCAACTCCTAAAACAACTGAACAGGGAACAAGTGTTATCATCCCTCCGCATTGCAAGAAGAGGGTTATTTGCTCACAAAGCACAGCCAAAAGGTTAAATGAATAACAATTTCATTTGACTTCAAAAGCAGTCAAACAGACTCTCTCTCATCCCTTTGTGTCTACCCAGGCCATACCCAGGCCACCCTCTGCCTCCACCCCCCATCCCATCCTGGCATTCCTCCTCCACAGTGGGGATTAAGCCCGTCTCATTTACAGGAATATTGTGTTGTTTTTTAGAAGCCTTTTTTGTGCCCAATCCAGACGAGGAAAATATGGCCATCTGGTCTGACTCTCTCTTACATATCACTAATCTCAGGTGGCGTACAATCAAGCAACACACATGCACGACATCCACACAGACACACACAGACACACAGACACACACACACACACACACACACACACACACACACACACACACAGATGCCAAAATACACCATGCAAATTGAGTGAATGTCCACATCTGCTTGTAAAATAATCCTATGACACATACTGTACCAGTTTTTCTCAGAAGACTTTTCTCTCTACTAACCTGGGCAGCATGGAACCTGTCTACTGGTGTATGTACCAGCTTATGAAAATGTAAATAGTGTTAAAAGAGACAATCAGGTAAATTGTCACTTTCCGTTGGTGATAGTTGAGGAGAAAATGATTAAATCAATTTCAATTCAGAAAAGTTTGCGCCCAGATTAATGACAGTTTGAACTTCAATCAAAGAGGATATGTGTGGAGATGGCTGCACGAACCCCTTCATCAGACAAAGTTAAATACAACATTGCATATAACCTTAAGTGAAACAGTTATCGAATTATTCTTGTCCATCTATATGTCAGTGTTTTTGGGAGCTGCAGCAGCACATTGACCAAAGAACAGTCTGCAGAGGCACCTCTTCTCCTCTGGACTGAGGCAGTAGGTAATAAGTGGACCACTTCACTTGAAGCTTACTTCTTTACATTTTTGTGACATCTGTAGCGACCACTATGCAGATGAATGTTTTACATGAAATGCATATGATACACTTATTAAACACTATGTAGGCTATAGTTTTAATAATAAATAAAGTCATAATGCCAGGCTTGTTCCCAGTGAAGTGAGGCAGAATATAAGTAGATTAAACCATACCATACCATTATTATTATTAAGGAAGAATTGACTTTGATATAAAAAAAAAAAAATCTGTTTGCATAAATATTAACTTTTCCTTTTTGAAAACCCTTAGGAGCCTCGCTTAATGCTGGAAAAAATATTTTAAATACATTTTATAATTAAACAAAGTAAGGGAGGCAGTGTGAGAGAGTTCCTCATTGTTTTCAAGTTGCACCTTCCTCCGATGCACCTGTTCCATATTCAGATGTGCACAGATTTGTGTATGTTGTGTGTCTATAACTTTTCCTTTTCCCAGTGAAGTCAGCTATAAGAGGTATGCAAAAGCAACTAAGCTGTGATTTGTCTGTTGTCCCAGAGACAGACGAGAGTTCACCCAGCGGGACTGTGCAACAACTGGTTGGATTAAAAAAAAAAAAAACGCATGGTGAGCGATCACACGGGAACCTGTAGCACTTGTTGTAAGATGCTATTCGAGGAGAGGAAAGCGGCCTACCTTCAGTGCCGTCGAGATCCTACAGACTTCCGGGCGTTGTTGGTGAAAGTTTGGTGCTCCGGGCCGTGCCGGAGGCATGGTTAGTGCGCACTGGATCGACGGACCGCAACGCGCTTCCTGTTACCCCCGGGTTGACCGCGCAGACAGCAGGCACGGCGGAGGTGCCCCGGCCAATCACCCTGGGGCCAGATGTGAGAGTGATATAACAACAGCATGATTACGTTTAATTTGGCCAATTCCCCGCTTGCAAAATCCCTGTTTTTCTTCGTCCTCCAACCAAAGCTGTGTGGCTTTATCTCGAGGGGAGGAGAGAGAGGGCGAGAGAGAGATAGAGAGAGAGAGAGAGAGAGAGAGAAGAGATTAAAAAAGGGTTGTTTCCTAACCTCTGCCATGATGCCTTATTCTCTATTGACCAACATCAGTCAAGATAACTTTCTCTTAGCTATACCATAACTAGACACCCACATCTAAATAAGGCTGGAATTAGATACTGCATAGTAGTCGAATAAAAGCATGACAGACCCAAAATATGCCAAAGTTTTCAACCCATACTACCAAATTATGCTATAATTACATTTAATACCAACATGGGCCTATGATAGCTTAGTTATGAAAACACAGGCTGTAATGACAATATATGTAGGCTATAATATCAGACAGCATTATATAGTCACACAAAACATTGAGTGCTCAGAGGACAATACATACAGACCTTTATTCAATACAGTTTCACTTTCTTACAGGGTATTTTTTGCTTAAAGCATAGGCTATAATGTAATATATAATATAACTGCAAATCAAATTGAACCTTGGTTGGTAACAAATCAGTATCTCCCTTGTATTAAAAAAATCCTTTTAAAGGTCCAGTGTAACAGGACAGGCAGTATCGGCAGTATGTGTTCAATCCAAAAGCAATGTCTGGTCATTTAATTGCATTTCAGTGAGAAATGAAAAGCTGGCAAGCAAAAAAAACAAAACAATATTATATAAAGATATCGCTCTATATAGAAAAACATGGGTATGGGTATGTTGGCTGCTGTATTCAACGAGGTCCAGGAGGTTGTGTAGCAGCAGCTGGCAGCTCCTCTCCAGTAGCTACAGGACAACAGCAGCAGTCTCTCTTCTAGTAGTGGGCACAGCAGTTCTTTTCAGTGTACTGAATCACTATGAATCGTCCATAAAAAAGATTTATTCACAAGATTTGTTCACCAAATCGTTCAGTACTTGACCAGAGCTGTGACTGCGTTTTCTCACTGATTGAACTAAAACATGGCGGAATGTTCAGTTCAGCTCGCTAACTAGTGAACTGAAAATAGTTACATGCATAGATACAGACGCTGCAGTTCGATTTATGAAAGAAATGTACAGAGTGCACACATGACTCTTTCTCTCATGAATGCCATTATTTATGAACATATCTGAACATGTCTGCCGCAGTCTGGCAGAAGCTGTTGTCTCACCTTCCCTAATGTCTTCTGGGGAAAACTCTTTTTTTCACTAAGATTAAGGAAAAGTTGTAATCCTGGTTTCTCTACCTGGTCTCGTTACAATTCTGATCCTGCATTTATTGATTGTTGCTGTCCTACCTCAGTGGGGGAAGCTGGAATGCTATTAATCCCATTTATGAAAGATATATGCACCATTTTGGGGCCAGGCTCGGGCATAAACAGCACTACTAATCTAGAAACCTATTTTTGTTTAACTATGCTTGAGTACACAGAATTAATATATAGCTGATAATTCTGCTACATGTGGATCCATGCCCTAATAATCTCCAAATCAAGGATCCCCAACAATCAACAGAAGAACATATATTCAATGAATGAATGAATGAATGAATTGCAGGTTAGGATATATTTATTTGATCTACTGGATTACTCTCTTTCCGTTCCTCCTATTTTCTTCTTAACTTCTCTCACTCTCTCAGCTCCACTCATTTATGCATGGAAACCTACTGCACTGAAAGAAGAAAAATATGAACAGAAAAAGTATTACAAATTCTGATCATAAACTTAAGTTCAGTCAGCCAACTCACATGGAATGTTTATTAAATGGTGGATGCTGGGGTGGTGGTGGGGCTTACAACTTACAGAGCAGCAACAGCTTACAGAGCAGCAGCAGCAGCAATACGGATGCAAGGCAATTGACAGCAGAGGGAGACCTGGGAAATTGTGCAGTTTAAATAGACCGCCAGATTGGAAGGGAGCGCTTGGTTAGTGATTATGGAATAATGCATGTCATGTGTGTAATCAGCGCAGCTCGAGTTGACCTGCCTGAACTAGCTCGCAGGCTTTGCTTCATATGCAAAATAGATTAAATGCAAATCTTATTCTCTTACATCTACTCATGGCACCTCTGCTCTCTTTTACTCTTTTGTTCTTCACTCGCTTCTTCTAAACACATTTTCATTTCTCTCTAATTTTCTCTCTTCCTCTTCCTTTTTTTTTTTTACATCTCATTTCCTATTACCCCCCCAAATTCTTTTCCACACTTTTGTTTTCACACCTCCTTTTCTTCTCGTTTCCTCACTCACCAGACTTCTGCTTCCACTTGTGTCCTCTTCTCACCAATTCTACACTCCTCTTCCCCGGGCTCCTTCTCAAACATTTGTATCCTCTCTCCTCTTAAGTCCTGCTTTTCACTCCTTTCTCACTCCCTCAGCATCTCTACTCATCCTGTCCTGCTTCCTCTCCCGCTCCACAGGTTTTTTAAAAAATCTCATACTGTGTCTTATCTGTTTTGTGTGATGAAGGAAACTTTACGTGATTGCTACTACAATAAAAAGTCTTTCAATGCACACATGGGCTCTTTTAAAATGGGCTCAAAAAAGTGAACCTATCCTTTGATGCTTTCTTTTCCTGCATTCCCTAAAGGTGTTTTATCTGTGATATTTCCATCATGTGATCTATTGCATATGCATAAGTAAATACCTATATTGTATTTCATATTTGCCATACAGATCAAAAGGGTAAACTGTCTGGCACAGATGCTTCCACTGGATGACCACTGGAGCCTCAGGCTGGGGAGGAGATGCCATTGTCTGGCTCCTGACTGACTGAGCATGGACGGTACAGTGTCACATGGAGAGTCATACAAAGTATGACCATGCTTCCCTCTGCAGGCTTCTGGTGGCACTGCACACTTACTTTGTTCACTCCCTAAACCTTAGTTCCCAAGTTTTTGGTTAGATTTATTTGAAAATGTGACCTGTCTAGAGTCAGTTTCAGATTGCCAGGTGAGGATACACTAATCCCTCCAAAAAATTGACATAACAGAATTGATTCAATTGTTCAAATATGAAATGAAGAAAGCAAATTCCATATTTATTTTTCTATGGTTGGTACTTCCTAATAAGCATTCCTGGTTGTAATAAAATCTTATGAATATTTTAGTCTTATTAATATTTTAGGTACAGATGACTAAATCGAAAAATATTTGGGACATATGCTCAAATTTATTTTGCCCCATTCTGCAGTTTAGATTCTTAATTTTTCAAGGCATTACCTTATTTAGTAGATGAGATGCATTCAACAATATGTATCTCACTGTTAGTTTTGCAGGCTACAAAGTCTGACACAAGTCTGGATAATTCTGGCTGTTGTTGAGATGTGTGTTTCCACCATCTCAATCCATATTCATGAGTAGCGCTGTCTTCTTCCAGGAAACCTAGACCACGCGTCTCAACAGGCCTGACCTACTGCTCTTCTGTCACTCACACACATATACACACTTCTGTGTTTTTCCTGTTCCTCCCAGAGCTGTTACTGCCAACACTCTGCTCAGTTTTCTCATTAGAGTCACAAAAATAGGCCAAAGAGAGTAGGGGTAGGCAACTACAAGGACAAAGCGGGCAAGGGGGAAGAGAAAGGGAAGGGGAAAGGGAATTTTGTACATATTGCTTCATCCTTGATTGGTGCTGATAAGTGATTAGCTATAAAGCAGATGGAAGGTGAAAAGTCTAGGTTACTCTCCATTATTATCCCAGATTTTGTTAATAGTCTGAGACCCATTTAAGGACGCTATATAGCCACGTCTAATTGAAAAAAAGAGCTTGGTTTGGTGTTTGAACACAGGGGGCCAGAAGGATGGAGGGAGAGTAAATTAACCCTTGAGTTCAAGATACAATTACTGAAGCTAAGTAACCATCCACTGCTAATGCTCTCCAATCACCACCCTATTATGTAATGCACTTCTGATGCATACTTGATCAATACACTAAGAAGAATGAAGAACAAAAACAAAGAGCTGATTAGAGTGTGTCCTGTGGGACTGTGTGACCACATCTGCAAATCTACTACAGCATCCTTGATTGAGGAAAATCTGATTTAAATAAATAAAGCAAACTTAAAACCTGCAGGATATAATAAAAACACACCTGAAGAAAGACAGAATATACCAAAAGGGACCAAGTAATCAGGAAGAAACAGATGAGTAAAATAGAGACTAGGAGGGATTATAGATCATGGTTTTTGAATTTATGAATTATTTATGCTCATGGGATATTTTAAGCCCTCCATATCATGTCTGTGAGCGATGAGTGGGTGGAGGTACAGAGAGGAGGAGAGGAAGTGGATATCGTTTGCCTGTTTCCTCATTGTGGTGACTATTATTGTACTTCAACACACACGCACACACACACACACACACACACACACACACACACACACACACACACACACACACACACACACACACACAACCTTACCTACCTCTCCGCATGGACTATAAAATATTCCTTGATGTTCATCAACACATTTAACATCAGAAGAGAATGTCTCTGCTGTCTTAAAAATGGGTTTACTTTGGTATATGGGAATTGAGATTTTTTTGGTCCAGGTTGTTAATGATTATTGTCAGTCCTACTTTCTGTTGCAGCTGCTGACTTCTTTTGTAATAACAAAAGAAAGAAATGTAGAACTGAAACTATTGTCTGTTTCTACAAAAATGAAAGCAAAATATGAAATGTGTCATTCATTTTCCATCTTTCTATGTTCTAGACACAATTTTCATTGTTTGAGGGATGTATTATACTTATTGTATCAGTATTTAGTGCAAGTTGACACCTAAACATTTAAAATGTGAAACAATTTGGCTTATACAGTTGTGGAATCTAAGTACTGTACCTAAGTACAAATTTGAGGTACTTGCAGCCTACTTTACTTGGGTATTGCCACATTTAACTCCAATTATCCCAAAACATCCCATATAAGGGTAAAAACACTGAAAGAGTTTTCTGCAATGAGGTCTTTAATTCAAGGAAATCGTGCTGATAATATTCATACTTTTGCTTATGTAGGGTTTGAAAGCAGTATTTTGCTGTGACATACTATTACTACTTTACTTAAGTAAAGGGTCCCAGTACTTTTTCTGTTTATACACCATACTTAAGGATGTAGAGAGAAAGTAAAAATTACACACCATAGCAAAGGTGTAAAGTGCACTGCACAGTTCATCAGTGATGCACATAGAGAATATACACAGACATTTGCTTGCCTGCTCATGGACAGTGCATGGGCGCAAATAGGATAACAGAAAGGGAATGAGGAGGAGTATGGTTATGTGTTTATGTGTGAGCCACAAGGTAAACTCATCAGGTCCTTAAAGAGAATCATTAAAGGAAGACCATCATCACCATCAGCACTCAGCCAATAGAAATATACATGTGGCTGACTGATGAGGACATCTTTTGTTAGACTTAACTTAAATGAAATATCTTAAAACTTCCAAAAATCCTGATGTATGTGTGTCCTTACTGTAATGTATGTTCACTGCTTGCACATGGCTCAGTTTCACCTCTTCAGGTCATTCATGAGGGTTATTGGACATCATGATGTGTGCAGATACACACAGGATATTCACTGTATTAATAAAACTCTTTAGATGAGTGGGATGTTGGCCCTTCATATTCTCATACCCACTTATACATAAAAGAGCTTTCTTCTTCTTCTTTTTTCTGCAGCCTGTACAGAGGTCATCTCTCAAGTGTAACTGAGTCTCTGTACTCAAGACAATTCTTGTTATTATGTAGCAATATTTATGTTAAAAAGGGAGCATGGTGCAACATTGTGTATTCCTTTACTCCTTTGTTTTATCATGCATAATTCTTGGGAACGTTTTTGTCTAAAGGTCACTGCAGTGCTTGGTAAGCTGGGCTATGTAGATTAACTTGTTATGCTTCTCAACATGTTTCTCTGTGCCTTGTGTTTGTGTTGCTTCCAAATGCTTCATTTTGTATTTGACGGAGATAAAGACAGATGGAGTCCAGTAAAGAAACAGCATGGATGAAAATATTAACAGCAGTGTGTTCCCTTTCTGTTTATAGGGAATACTTCTCCATATATGTTATATATGGATGTATTTATGTGTGTTATTAGTGTAAGACAATATTGAAGACTGCTGTGGTGTTTGGCTGTAAATAAAGGTAAATGATGTAGAACAGCCTACAGAATGTAGGACAAACCTATAAATCAATTCAGCTAATTAAACACATTGACAGACTGAAGCTCCCCAGTGATGTTCTTCTTTTCTCATCCGTCCACCTCCTCATCTCTTCCAAGTCTAACCCCTGCTCCCAATCCACCTCCGCTGTTATTAACTGCTATTTCAACAATCGTCCCTGAATCTTTTTTGGAAATATATATTTTTTATGTTGTAGTTTTTATCCTTAAAGAAAATCATCTTATGTTTTTTTCTCCACACTTAGAATGACTATAAACTACAAAATATACACACAGTCCCCTGGCAGTTTAGCTATTTAGAGCAAGAAGGGTGATATTCCCTATACAGAAAGGGATCCGGCTGTATGTGCTATTAATAGAGGAGGTTAGTGTAGGGGGCTTCCACTGTTGGTAATGATGGAAAAGGGGCTTCCCCTCCTCCACACACACACACACACACACACACACACACACACACACACACACACACACACACACACACAAATAGTACAGATGTGCCCATATGCAGGTTTCCCCTATGGAACCTGGTGTTCTATAAAGAAGGTTCAGGTTGACAGGCCATTAACTGGGCTGTGTATTAGGTAACAAATCAGCTCATATTGCAATGGGCAATGTTCACAGCATGTGAGGCATTTACTTGGTCTATTGGATATTGCCTCATACAACATGCAAACCTAAGTGCACTTGTGTCCATCAAAATGACAGGCCTTAGGAGGGAAACGGGGCAGGAAAACCTATTGGTGACATATTAATTTTATTGTTTTTTTATGGCCACTTTAAATCATTTTGTAAACGTTGCCTACAAAAAGCAAGTAAGTGAGGACAGGAGCGGATAACAGCCTCACACACATTGTAAGACGGGACAAACCACAGATGTGTGCTATAGTTAGAAAAAACTGTCTGTCTTAAAGAGAACTTGAGTGAAGTTCCTGTTTAAAATTGTACAAGCTAATCAAACAGCAATCAGTGGATCAATACACGTCAGTTATCTGGAGGCTGCCTGGCTACTGTCCTCAGCTGACATTCCTGGAAACCCAGCCAACTGAGATGGCCAGAGGGAGCATTATACTCCTGCTAATATATGTCTGAGTAGAGAATCAGATCACCCACTGTGCATTACTTTGGTGCTTAGCGCTGCTGATGAGGCAGAGATGGAACTCAAGAGAAAATGTGTGGGAAATGAAATATGAGAGGGGCAAATAATAGAGAGGGAAAGCAAGAACAAGCAGCAGAGATGAGGGCAGAAGGGAAAGACACAAGAGGAGAGACAAACATTTCCAGCTGCTCGGGGAAGTGTTAAACTCTATGAAATGGCACTGATACAGTGGATGTTTGTACTTGTCCCACTCTATGTTGAACCAGGAGTCAAGAGCGTTTTGCTCTCCTCTCTCATCCTCCCTCTCTGGCTCACTTTCTTCCTTGCTTGTTTTATAAATAGACCACTTTGCTTTCTCAGTAGACCACAGAGAGCACAAGATTCACTTAAGGAGAGAAGCGGGACACAAAACCATTGAGGAGATGAGGTTTGATAGTCGATTCAAATGTACCTTCTGTAATGGACATGAGACCGGCCGCTCCACTGGTGCTTTCATCAATTTATATAGTTTGTGGAACTTTTCTTTCTCAAGCCTTTGCTATGCTTTATGAGCACCAAAGAAGTATTTAATATGTTACAAAATGCATTCTTGAGTGTCTTTGCTATGTTTTTAGCATAGGACCTACAACAAATTGTAGGATTTTATGTAGTCACTGATTTGATGGAAGTTACTGGCTCAAACACTATTAGAATTGAAAATCTATTTGTATTTTTGCCTAAATCTTCACAAAAGGTGAAACTTATTACACCACACGAGAAAGACACACCAGTAGCTTGAGGTTATCATAAAGATGTTATTATTGATATCATCATTAAGACCATTATTATTTATAATAGTTCTATAATTCACAATTATTATGAATGACGAAAGTATCTCTCTGTAGATTATCTATATTAATCAGTTTATATTCACTGTACTTCGGACAGGCATGGCAAGCATTCAGATCCATATTTCCTTTGAGTGAAACTTTCTTGGTTTAGTCTTTTTCCATACAATGGTATAAAAAACACAGGCTTTATACAGATCGTTAAGTACCACCATGAGACCACAATACAGTGAAGAAGCTGAGGATTATCTAAATCTCATACACACACATTTAAGATTAAAATAGTTGAAGAAGTTAGAGGAGTACAGGAAGTGGAGGTGGTTGTCAGGGGATAAATATGTATTAAGACAGTACAGACAGAATCTACTTGACAAAGGCCTGCATGTGTATTTCAGTCAAACCTCAGCCCCTGCTCTATGTGAGGCTCAAAGGTGTGTCATAACATTCAAATAGAAAAACATAGTGAAAAAAAAACAACAGTTCAATTATACAGTGTCTGATGACACAAATAAGTTAAAGTTCTCATAGAAATTATATTTCCCTTTTGATTTGTTCATATACTTCCATCCGTAGTACCTGGAGCATATTAAACCTAAGCGATAATTCACCTACTATACAACTTAAGTTTCTTGGATGATTTCAGCAAGCATACACTTTGATTCCCTGCTATACAGGAATCTGTACATGGCAGAAGCTCATTTTAAAGCTGAAGCTTTAGGCATTTTAAGACATCATTAAAAGCAGCTGTAACTCTTAGATACATTGTTTACATGGCTACGTGTATTCACCACCAGCAGTGGGTTTAAGTCCATTCCTTTTGAGGCCTTGAAGTTTGACAGAACAATGTGTCTGTCCGAACAGCGGACATGGCCATAAAGGTGTATGTTCACAGGAAGTGTGTGTACACTGGCTGTGTTCAAATGTCAGGCGAGTGTGAATGTGTGTGTCAAGTGTCCTCTTGTTTGTGTTGTGAAGTACAGCAAAGATGTGTTGTCCTCGGTTCAGATCATCCTGATGTGCAGTCCTGTTGGTTTCTCCAAGAGAGTGTTTTTGTCTTGACAGAGTGTCACTTCAGTAGTGTGCTTGGTAACAAGAGTGGAAAAGACGGCAGTACAGACGAAGCTTTCAAGCCACATAAAGTCACATAGGTGTTCCAGTACACAAGAACAGTTTAGAAAAATACAAGTACATCACAATACAGGGGCAGTGTTTACCTTACATTATCATATTTTCCCTCCCAACCTCTCCTCTCTTCAATTCCCAGTAACTGGCCCTGGCTGATACCGAAGCTTATCTCACAAGTCAACACACGCTTGTAGATCTTATCTCCAGTGGGTTTAACAGGACATTCCTTTCAGTTTTCTTTGTTTAATATGCTATGTGCATGTGATGAATATACACAAAGGCCATAAACAGTGTGGTAGGATAGAAGAGAATATAAGGGAGCACCATAGTCCTTCTGGCCTGGAGTCAAGAAGAGCAGTGTTTTAAACAACTGCTACCACATTGTCTCTAAAACCTACATGCTCAGCTTGTATGTATCTGAAAGCTCTCTATTTCTTTCACAATCTCTTTCTCTCTCTCATTCTCACACACAAACACACACATGCACAGACAACACTACACACAGCATGTTGGGCCTATATATCAGAAATATGGGCACTCAAGACAGTCCCTTGGAGCATTATGATACACTTGGCTGACCAAAAAGTCTGACTGACTGTTTGAATCTCTGTCCATCAACTGGGCTGGTAGTTGTTGTTGTGTTTTCACTATGAGATACAGTTACTGGGTTGTGATTACAACTGACCATAAAGACTTTAAAGCTGACAGGACATTAGTTAATGTGTGAACTATGCATTATAGGATTAGCTATCCCTGTTCTGGAGTCAGTGTGGCTTTGGACTCTCATCTGACTTTCTCTCAAACCTTCTTTATTTCCTCTCATGTTGTTAGTTTCTCAACCCTTCTTACATTAGTGATAGTTAGCAAATCTTATTGTGGAAACACAACCCTCTTTGTGTAAATACTTCACACAGATTGTGAGTCAACAATATTTCAGATAGCAATGGCAGAAAGATGCATATGCAAAGAATGACACATACTTCATACAGTATATTGCACATAGCGCCAGTACCTCTACAGATATAGGAATATATTCATGTCAGTTTGCTTTTTAAGTATTATTCATACTAATTCATGCTACAATGAATACTTCAAAGGACATGCAGCACTACAATAGCAGAATAGCATCTGTTTGATAAAAAGCTGATGGAGGACACATAGCCTATAGGTCCTGCATTATAGGGGCAATGCACCGCCAATAAAATGATTGTTCAAACTGTATGAGTACCAAATAAATAAATAAATAAACAAATAAATAAATAAATAAATACTGAGAAAAATGTATCTCTTTTACAACCCAAGATACAGTATGCCAGGCGGCTTTGGTGACCTGATAATTGAGTTGGAAACACTTGTTACTATAAAAATCTATAAGTTAACTGAAAAATATTTTTGTTTTTTCTTGCAGGCAAAGTTGACTAATTTGATCTACTGTTTAAGGGGAGACATGTGTGGGAAAGAAGGCTTGACAGGCTAAAATTATTTAGCTGTTTCATTAGGAAAGAGCAATACATTTTTCCTGTACTGATCATGAGCTTTTGGATATCACACAGCAGACTTAAACGCTTGCTTCTTACCCCTTATCCAGCAAGAATGAATAATACAAAGTTGGCATTGCTGGTATGACAATAGATGCACCTTAAAGGTGTCATGAATTATTTTTTGTTGATAACTGAGCTCTTTCTTTGGTAGAGGGACTTTAGAAAAACTGTTACTTAAAATGTTTTGAGTAAATAACATAAAAAGCCTTGATGAATTATACAAAAAAACTAGTTAACTTTTCCTGCTGTAACTGTATTGAAATTAGAGTCTGACAAAAACAACAAACTAAAATCTCACTTTAGTTTGCTCCTTAATCTCATTTTGTCTATTTCTACAAACATGGAATGCTATGAAGTCAAGAACAGCAACATTTATGCTGGGCAGTGGTTTCAAACTGAACACTTGGACCTAAAGAGACACTTAAAGGTGCAGTTAAGAAGATGGAGAAATAGGCACTCACTCAGAACACTACAGAGAATATATTCACTATGTTTCTTTCTACATCATGTCTTTTAACCAAATGTAGGAGAAGCACACATTCATCATATTACTAAAAAAACATATATTTTAACAAACCAAATGGACAAACCAATAAATAAAGAAGACATTCACTCTGTTTAGTGAGACATTTCTTCTGTTCACCTGCTAGCCTCCATTGGCTGGAAACAAAAAAAAGGCAGAGTCATGGCGAGAGTACGGTAAATCCACTTCATCAAGGAAAAAATGGCAGGAAAAAGAAGATACTGTGCTATTGTGGTCCAGAATTACAGCACAGAACTGTCATCTGTTGGTCTCTACACAGGCCACTAGTTTGTACTAGACAATATCTAGTTAGGGCCTGGGGAGGGACGCGAGTGCACTCAGGCTTCTTCTCTGACAGAGAAAGCCACAAATGACCATTTGGCCAAAAGCATATTAGTATCGCTTGCTCTCCGTTGCTCAATTCACCCATGACAGAGCAGTGATGTTGGTGATCTTGTTTTTTTCTCTGAGTCAGGACCGTGGCAGTTAGAGCAGCAGATAAAAGTTGCTCCTAAATGCTGATTGAATGGCCTATTTTTAATCAGAAGTTATTATGTTAAGTTACATTTAAAAATAAAGGTGACGCTCATCTAAATTATTGTTGTCGTGCAACTTCTCCTGGGGCAGTTTGAGCAAGAAGGTAGAAACTATTGTTCCCTTTGCGCTGTTAATATTGATTATTACTGGTTAGGCTACTATTTGGCTACTGTTGCGAGCAGGACGACTACTGTCACATAGGTAAGACTAACTCCATGCAGACACTGACAATGTCCTAAATAAGACAGGTGGCAGTTCTATGATATGCGCCATAGGATGCGGGAGATGAGGTCCTCACTACTGACCTTTTCACCAAGTTAATCTCACTCATCTGCTCTGGACTCTACTGTGTGCCATATGTTTGTCGATACAGGGAGTCATACCTTCATCCTCCCTGTTACTGTCCCTGTAGACTCCAGCTAAAGTTAACCATCTATAGTAGCTCACATTATACATCTGTACGCATCTTAGTGATGTTTACATAGTTAGTGTTGGCCAGGGTGCAATTTCCTGTTTTCATGCCCTCTGGTCTGAAGTCCTCTGTGCTGTGGTTCACAGCCTCCTGGATCTCCACATAGTCAGATTTACTGAGAGTGGATCCACTGCCGCTCCGACCACTCTTCTTTAGATCGTCAGCTGAGCTGGCTTTAGGCACACTTGGGATATTCAGATACTGTGCCTGTTCCTCGCCCTCTGTCTCTCTGTGGTAGAAATAGTTGAAGTTTGACACAATGACAGGTACAGGCAGGGCAATAGTCAGCACACCGGCAATTGCGCAGAGAGATCCCACAATCTTTCCTCCAATTGTTGTTGGTACCATGTCTCCGTAGCCCACGGTGGTCATGGAAACCACTGCCCACCAAAACGCCTCAGGGATGCTGCTGAACTGGGAATGTGGCTCATCTGCTTCGGCGAAGTAGACAGCACTGGAGAAGAGGATCACACCGATAAACAGGAAGAATATGAGGAGGCCAAGCTCACGCATACTGGCCTTCAGAGTCTGTCCCAAGATCTGCAGCCCCTTGGAATGACGTGACAGTTTAAAGATACGAAAGACCCTGACCAGACGAATGACACGGAGAATGGCCAAAGACATGGCCTGCTGGCCTGCCTGGCTGTCCTCTGGCCTCTCTGCTAGTTCTGTGCCCAGGGTGATGAAGTAGGGGATGATGGCCACAATATCAATGATGTTCATGATGTTGCCAAAAAATCCAGCTTTACTGGGACAGGCAAAGAACCTAACTAGGAACTCAAAAGAGAACCAGATGATGCAGAGAGTTTCCACGATGAAGAAAGGGTCTGTAAAATATGTTGAGCCATCATAGGTAGAGGTGACGTTAGACGTGGACTGGAATGGATAATTGTACATCTCCTCATCATCATTTCGGAAAACTGGCAGTGTCTCCAGACAGAAGCTGACAATAGAGATAAGAATCACCATGACAGAGATGATGGCAATGATGCGAGCAGGACCTGAGCTCTCTGGATACTCAAACAGCAGCCACACCTGTCTCTGAAACTCATTCTCTGGTAGAGGCCGCTCCTCTTCCTTTATGAAACCTTCATCCTCCCTGAAGATTTCCATAGCCTCCTCACCCAATTCATAAAACCGGATCTCCTCAGAAAAAATGTCCAGGGTCACATTAACAGGCCTGCGCAACCTCCCTCCTGATTGGTAATAATACAGAATAGCATCAAAACTTGGTCGATTCCGGTCAAAAAAGTATTCGTTCCGGAGAGGATCAAAATACCTCATCCTTTTCTTGGGATCCCCCAACAGAGTCTCTGGAAACTGGGAGAGAGTCTTAAGCTGCGTCTCAAAGCGCAAGCCTGAGATGTTGATGACGACCCTCTCGCAGCACTCATGATCTGGCTCTGGGTCGTACTGGTCATGAGGCTGGCCCGGATGTGCTGCTGCTTCGTCTGCAGGGTCGCTGGTAGCAACCGTCATGCTGGAAGGAGATGGGGCCTGCAGGTTTCAGACAGGGTGGGGCCACGTCGGGCCAAAAGGAGATAAAGGCGCCACACACTCGTGGGCTCAGGTACAGGCAGATCTGCCTGCAAAAGGCTACAGGACAGTACAGAGAGCAGAGAAAGGCTGCAATAATTTAGGAGATGAGCAAAAAAAATCATACTTTTAAACAGATTTATTTATTTAGATTTTGAACATGCATATTCAACAGCTTCACCAGCATATATCTCTTATATGTCTCATTTTGATAAACATAACATCTTTCACAGTCTAAAATTGTCAATAATTCCTAGAAATGCAAACAGGCAAGAGCAGGGCAGTTGAAAAAAAAAACAACCACCAGGAACCATTTGTGTGAATTGGCTCCTTTGTGTCTATGTGTATTAGATTATGAGTTCTCTCTCACATGAGCCCACTGCAGGATCAATATGCTAGCGAGTAATACTGTATCAGCTCTCACAGGGTGCAATTACAACCAACAAATCTGATTATATGCTGAGTGCTCCATACATTCACTGAGATGAATTTCCTCTCCCAGTATGTGTGATGTGACCAAGATTCCCTGCCAAAGCTGGGAAAAACTTAATCAAGTCTCTGATCAAATTAATGGTTTATAATGTACATGTATGTATTTTAGTTTAGAGACATGGTTACATATGGGTAATTTGGTAAATAAATGCAACAATATCTAAATGAAAATCAACAAGTCCTACCTATTTGCACTAGCACTGGCAAGGCTTGTTTACAGCACAATGGGTCCTCTGGTGGTACTGCGTTGACGGGCTCAGCAGAAGTGTCCGGTCAAAAGTCCGCCACCGCGGTCAGAGCAGCTCCTTTCTGCCAGCCATGTATCACCCGAAGCTCCGGCTCTGCAGCGACGCAGCAGTGGGAGTGGGAGAGGGGGACAAGGCATGAGGATGCAGGAGTTACCTCCCTCGCCTCAGTGACCAGCAGATACATGTTGTGATGCAGCTAGGCTACAGGTTGAAGCTGGAGGTTTTTGGGGGTGGGGGATGATGTTGTGGTGGGAATAAAGTGATAAAGAAATTTTTTAAAATGCTGGCACCAGCAAAATATGACGCCCCCACTTCAGAACAATACGCCGCCGCCTGCAGCAACAGCAAAGGTAATCCTCTAGCCTGATGTCTGCAGAGACTCATTGGGCATGGGAGGTCGCAGGAGGCGCTGCTGTCAGCATCTCAACTCGGAAGCACCCATGCTTTGGCCGATTTCATCTAAATGCGAAATCACCTGTTTGATCCCCCAAACAGGTCCGTATTCCGCCTGAAGGTTTGCGTTTTAGCTCATTCAAATGTTATATTCTAATTTTACCTCCGCGTAAATTCCACCATCTTTTTTCTGATGGGGAATATCCATATGAATACACCAGTGATGCACATTAGTAACAAATGGAGGCTTATGTTCACAACCCATTCCATGGAATAACGCAGCTCCTCTGATGGCCTTTTTAATGAGTGAAAAACTATTATTTGTCCCCACAAAGCAGCCAAGTTCATGCAGTGAGATATTCAAACATTAAATGGCACTGTTGTAGTTGATTGGCAAGCGCGAGTGAGTTAGTTTGGAGTGGCAGGTGCCAGCCATGCTTAAACCATTAGCAGCCCTCTGCTGTGTGGCTCATGGACAGCCACAACAGACTCCATGCACTAAACGAAGCAGCATAGCATTATCTGTCGGACTACAGCATAATTTCAGATAATGGCATGCAGGAATTCACCCTGATTCTCTTGTTGCGCAGACGCGTGTATTTTTTTATCCAGTATGTCTCCTCTTAAAAGGTGCCTTGAGGTCGTGAGTCCATTCCTTCATATCTGTCCTTCTTCCCTTATTTGACTAATATGTCCAGCGGCTGTGTCATCTCATCACGACCAAATGTTTCTGAGCTGCCGGTTCTTCCCATGTCTCTCATATTTCACCATAATTCACCATAGTTGAGACGCGTGGGCTGCAGTGGGGCATCGCAGCGCATACTAACAGCTTCTTGCGCGCCTCGCCCCATCCCTGTGCGCTCCCCCTTCCCCGACACTCCTGTCCTCGCTGTTCCACATTAAAGGGGAAGCATCGCCCACCACAGGGTGGAAACGGTTTTCCACAAAACATGCGCGTCTTAGAGGAGAACGAGGGATAAAACAATGTTTAAAGGTAGAAACTGACAATAGGATGTGGAATAGATCTTCCGAAATGTTGTCCTGTGCCCCTGTTGCATCTACACTTGTTAATGAACATACATGCCACCCCAAGCAAAATCATGTTTTTTTATGGTTTGGAAGAATATCAGGGGAAAATGCAAGAAAACAAACACAGGAAAAATCCTCTTCTGAACTTAAATGAGCACAATGAATTGAGGGAATGAGAGATGTTGAGCCAACAGCTGCAGCACCTGCTGAATGTCTGTGACCACTGTGTGAACAGGTCAAGTCCCAGGTCAAATCTAAAGGAAGTTTGCATGTTTGTTTGTGTGCTTTGCACAAATAGTCTATGCCATAAAGTAAAATGTGTCTGCCACCTGTGGTGTCCTCAGTGTACGCAGGATACGTAGGCAGGCTCCATTGCAATTTGATGAGTTGCTGATTATAGTCAGATCATTCGCAGGCCTGCACACTGTATCACAGTCCACTAATTATTGCCCTGTTCAGCACATGTAGGCACACACTCACATACACAATGGACTGATGCTAACAACTCTTAATGCAATCACAAACTAAATGAAGTTCAAGCTGAGAGTCCAATGATTATATAGCCAAAATAACTAGAGCAGTCTTCCCTGCCCTTCTTTCCTCCACTGCTTGAAAGTAGGCCAGGTGAAAACCCAGATATGATGTCTTCAGGCAGAGAGTGGGAATCACACATGAAAGAAAAAGAGACTCCACAACTCCCCAGAGAATACCTGAGGAATACCATATGTAGCTCCCTCATGTGTTCTCCTTGCTCTCCTATTCTCCACTGCCCAAGGACACGTTCAGCATACTACGCAATCCTTCTCCAATCAAAATGTCAAAATACTGATTAAGATGATGACATGGGACCCCAGGGAATGCAGCAGTAGCTCACTCTGCATAAGAGCTGATAACCAATTTGTCACTCTGGCTGGGGGTCTCAATGAATGCTATTGACACACTTACATAAGGATGCTGATTGATGGCCAGGAACTCTTTAATCCTCATCATCCGTGAATGTAAATGAAGAGGGTCCAATTCTAAATGGAGGGCAGCTAAGAGCCCAGCCACCAATATCCAATGCAGGGTGTCAGCAGTGTAATGATTCATCATCCACCACATTCACAGCAATCATCTTTAACACAGTTTTACTAGCGGGACAGGGCACTTAGAGTATGGGATATGGGATTGGGTTTGTTAGGATTGGGGGAGGGGTGAGTCACGTCCTCTAATGTTTAACTATATTGCATTTAAAATTTTAGTACACTGACAATCTTCATGTCACATTTTATATGAGAATTAATTCAGTGTTCATAATCATGACCATGATCTTTTTCTTAACCTCAACCAATCCCACTATAAATGAATTATCACCTTGTACCTGAGCCATAATTTAACCTTATCATACCTGAACAATCTTTATTTGCCACTCCCAGATCTTTTAGGAAAAAACAAACAATAGAAAACTACTGGCACTCTGATAACTCTGCACATTGCACGATCTCTGTACAGCAGGGGTTTTCAATCTGTGAGGTGGGAGAGACGTGAGATAAATGGGGGAAGAACATTGCCAGCGTTCTGAAAACAACCCCGGTGATTTGGCCCACTTACCAACAGTTTCAGCAGTTGGGGCAGCAACAGTGGCTGTGACACAATATGCATGAAGGAAAAATAAGTACTTTACAGCCCTTAGTGCCCGATTGCCACAATCACAATTTTCCTAAAAATCCGTAATTGGAGTATTAACTCAAATCTGTCAAATTCTGAATCTGTCTTGATTTTGCTTGCCGTGGGGGTGGAGATGGTATAGTTTTATATTACTGGCACACAGTTGACCCAGAGTTTTGAAGGCCATTAACCCTCTAACCATTTTGGATCCTCAGTTCTGTCTCCAGTTCCCTCTCACCTTCAGGTTGTGCCAAGTCTCAGGATGGGACCATTGATTCTGTTTTGTTTTCAGCCGAGCAGACCAGATGGAACCATGCAGAGAAACTTAAGAATGCTTTCGAACTAATGACCCCATATGGCTGCCGTAACCACGTCTAAACACCTTTTTACTGTATAAAATTCATCTTTTTTAATTTAATTTGGTAATTTTTAATTGGGACTCTATGTGCCAGCTGGTGCACTGCACTGGCTGGGCAGGATCCCAAGCTGATGGGGAGCCCCAAAATGTCTAGACAGAAATGTCTGTGTTGTCTGAGTGTTGTTTGAGCTGTGGGTAAGAAAGCCAATATTTGTTTGTATGGAATAATGATGGCCAGGACCACAGGAAAGTGCAGGGAGTGTCCAGAACTCCATAATGTGCATAGAACCCATTATTCTCACGATGTAAGCACATTCAATTAATTTAGTCAGAGAATAATTTGACTGCAAGCCCACACAAATAGTTCAGTTGAGATATATTGTGAGATGATCAGCATATTTGTATATGAGTGTGTGAGTCAGCAGACCTGCACGCCTAAATTCTCCACCCTTTTCTATGCAGCAGAACATGTGGAAGTGAGAGAGGGAGGAGGAGAGTGAGCAAGAGAAGAGGGTGTTGATCCAACTTATGACAGCAGACTGCAGGGGAGGAGCTTTGTCCTGGGTGACCTCTGCTTGTGCTGCAGCAGGTGATCACTCACACACACACACACACAGATGTAATAAGCCACTGTATTGTTTTGGCATGTGCACACACTCAAATACACATTTAGATATAGACATACTAACTCCATGTTTCTTAATAGTTCCAAGACAAGAAACCTTAATGGATAACGCAGAAGCTAAACCAAATATACATACACAAACGCGCACACATGCACATAATGGCACTAATGATAAATCATGCTCTGCTTTCTCTCTGTCCACTAGAGGATATCATGCCTGTGTCACATTTTGTCTTGATTAGATACAATATGACAAGTACACATATGTGTGTGAAGGTGCAGTACCGGCAGTAGTATAAAAAGCAAAGTTTATTTGAGTCCAATGTGAGACCAAAAGTCTACACTGATTTCAGGTACGATCTTTTCCTAAACCTATCCAAGTAGTTTTGTAGCCTAAAACTAACCAAACTGTGACCTCAGCAAGCTTTATTTTGAAAGTGTAACTGGATTTTGCAACTGGACGCATTTCCTATTGTTAACTTGAATGAGCAATAGTTGAAAATGGGACACGGCCACACCTAGACAAGTTAAAACATGACACTACCACCGTGGACTGTGTATTACATGCTTTTCCTGTCAATATTCCAAAATTGGACACAAGGAAATAGTCCTTGTATTCCTAATTAATTATGGCATATAGGCCTCAAAATAGCACTCCACAACATGCATTCTCCTCTATGACAACCAGCCAAGCAACATAATTGCCACCTTAGCTTATTTTGACCCTTCATCCTTCTTTTTTCCTAATTTTTTCCCCTCATTTTGACTCTCTCCCTGCATGTCACCCTCTGGGGTCCCTCTATATTTAGAGATTGACCTTGGAAGTTCTCTACCTGCCTGGTGAGAGCAGCCAGGCTGATGATGATCACTTTCATGATGAGATATGTCCTTACCTTCGGAGTAGAGTACTCTACTATTGATTCTGGATGTGGTTTCACTTTCTGTTGTTTTTTCAGCCCTTCGAAAACAAGGAAAAATCAATGACCTAACTCTGGATGTGTGGCTTAGCTTAGAGAAGAAACTTTGGAGTAATGATATCAGCATGACTACGTATGCACGGCTGAATACATATGATATATGCAGAGATCTCTTTTACAATGAGGCTTGGCAGCGTGAATTTGGCAAGCGTTCATTGACTGTGGAATGACTAAGGAAATCTTCCCCCGCAAATTGGGAGAAAAGAAAAGTAAGTAGAAGAAGGTAGTCAGCAGGAAATGTAGTTGTGTGGTGTTGTGCAGAAAATGAAAATGAAGTGGAGGGATCGAACAATAGAGGTGGAAAGGGTTGCAGATAAAGGTCACAGTGACAGAGTGATGAGTCATCCAGTAGAGCTCAGCAACATCTCTCTCTCTCTGTCTGTTTTACACCATCGCCCTCTCCACCATCTGTCTGTTTGCTTTGACAGCAAAAACTGAGATGACTGGCAGCCGATCACCCAATCCAACAGCTAGAAAACAATTCCAATACGTCTTAACATCTGGGTTTAAATGTTTGTATGCTGGCATGTGTTGTCTACATATGGATGTCTGAAACAGTTTAGTGTGTTTGCAAATAGGACATTATGTTTGGACAGGGAATCCCACCTTGTCTCCTGTACTGGTGGCGGGAAACTGGAACTGATCAGCATCCAGTAATAATTCGATTTTCTGGAAGCACTAGCAACAGCATCATCATCCTTAGTAACCATCTTTTCCAGCTGTCAATGGGATGACTCTGCCAGTGAACATGAACATATCAGACCATTAAAAGTCACAAAGAAACAAGTGAGCCATGTTTACCAGGTGTGAAGGATGAAAATGTGGAATATTTGTATATGTCATGTTATGTATGTTGGGGAAATCCGTGATGGGTGTGCTAATTTTTAAATGTCGAATTGTTTTTAAGGGTGCTAAATAAATTCAGGTCAAGTCAAACCAGCTTCATCAGAGAGCTTTACGATCTGAGCAACATCTGACAGCCTCCAACATTACACCATTTGTTTGGATAGCTTCTATATGGTTGTAATCAATATATTTTAAAATAAAACTCAAATGCCAAAATGAAAACAAAGTGATAACGTGAAAGGGGTCCCTCGTAATGATGAACCAACCAAGAATTTGCTCCCGAATATGCAGATGCTCTCAGCTTTACCAAACTTTATAATGAGTTTCAGCTTATTGTTTGGCTGACTGGCCTGTGACTTGCGCTTTCGGTTCACTCTCACCG